TGCTGTAAGATACACCCAACTAACCAATTAAGTGCGCTTCTTTTGTCTCAGCAAGGGAATATAGAAAATACCTTACGTGCAATATCAAGCATCTGGTAATTGCCACTCCATCGAGCAGAGGCGTCAAGGGGAAATTTCCAATTTCCTTCTTGATAAGCAGTCGTAAATTGCAGGAAATCCTCAGACATTTGTAAGGAAGAGTTCAACTCCAGAACGAACTCCCTAATTTTTGAGATTATCGACTTTGTAGTTCTTAATCCATCATTTATGATTGAACTCAAAGTATGAGCAGCACAGGGGTTATAGAAGAAGGGGCCCATTTTCTGGCCATCCATATCATCTTTTAGAGTGTGGCATGCAAGTAGAGCATTTTCACTGTTATTATGTGTACAGGAGAGGACTCTGTTATCAACATTATAGAACTTCAAAACCTTCAATAGAGTGTCATATATTTCAGTACCCCCACAAGGGCAAGGAATGTGACAAACATCAAGTAGAACCCTCTGAAAGGACCAGTTTTCATCTATCCACTGGCAAGTGACACTCATGTAAAGAATTTGCTCATATGAAGTCCAGAAATCAAGAGTAATGGATACTTTTGATGAAACCTGATCAACAATAACCCTCACATCTTCCTGCATACTCCGGAAAACTTCATGAAGTACTGCTCTGAACCTTTCCCCTGACCATAGTTGCATTGATGGATTGAGGAACTTGAATGAGTTTGCCAGCCACTTTTCCTCCATAGTAGACGGAGGAAGAGATGCCACAATGAGCCACTTGGTAAGCAACCAATTCAAATGATCAAGTTCCACTTGAGCTGTTTTTACTTGAGGCTGAGGCTTCTTCACTACCGTGACAGGATTAGGATATGTAGTAGGATTTGAAAGATCTTCCACCTTATCATATCCTGGATGGCGATTACTGAGATGCCTTCCCAAGTTTCCTTTATCAAGGAGAAGGCTGACTGTCAACTATACGCACTGGCATATATCTCAGGCTAAATCGATAATGTAGAATGTGAAAGTAAGCCGTTTAAAGAAAGCTCTGGTAAAATGATTCAGCTTTCTAATCTATAAAGTCCTAAAATAAAACGTTAATGCAGTTTCAGCATACTAATTACAAATTTCAGCATCCAAGCTAATCAAGTTCTTCTGAGTCCTAAGGGCAAATCTAGGCCAAGTCTTTACAGTTAAGACATGTGAATTATCGAAGTTGAAACATGTTTCTATGCCTCGGTGAAGGAATAATTACCTGTGGCAGTAGCTATAGAATAGCTCTGTCCACAAAATTTGCACCTCCTACTTTTGCCATCAGCAGCAGTTTCAAAATACTTGAGATACACTGACGTCATCGTCTTTTTTCTTGGTTTTCCAGCAAGAATAGCATTCCCCTTCTCTGAGGAACTTAAACCAGTATCTGTTGGATCAATGCTTGGAATGATTGATCCATCCATTATTGCCAATGACTTTGGTTCCATTTCTGGTCCAAGATACAAGGAAAACTCCCATTTGATCACATTATTGACAAAAGATGCAACAGCTCAAATAATGTTTTCTCTCTTGGAATAACTAGACAAGAAATGAATTTTCAATGTACAAATCTACACAAGAAGGAACTGTCAAGCTTCAATTTTGCTTGCAGGCTGCAATCTTGATGCACCTCTCAAGATTAGTATAACAGATATTGCACAGTTTGCATAAAGAAGAAGTGATAATGACATCCAAACGAAACATAATAATTAAGACTAATAGGACTAGTCTCCTGATATTTAAGAAGTACATTGTCGAGATGAAAACAGTCCCATTAAAATCCCAGTAGGAGGCAAATAGTCCTGCTCTTACCTTTCAAAGTTTTGAAGGCATTGCTGACACCCCAGTCCATCACATTCGCTGCTGCACTAGATTTCCCACTGACGGTTCCTCCTGCATTTTAGACACTAAGACATAAAAGTTTTTCAAGAACAGAACCATTGCTTCAACACAATCACAGTCACTCGTATACACCAGCCTGTACAACAACATATACCTGAAAATTCATGGGTTTTGGTTGGAAGCTGAATTGGAGCTAATTTCAAGCATCAAAATTGGATCTTGAAATGGTGAAAAGTATTGCCAAAGTTTTACAAGCAAATTCTTGATTAGCTGAGAAGCTCAGAAATAACAAAGGGTAGAAGAGAAGATCATCATTGATTCATTTCATTTCTCTCTTGCAGTGTGCGATTTTGAAAGAGTGGGAAGGAAAAGAAGTTGATGGAGGAGGTGAGGAAAAAGGGAGGGAAACGGAAGGAAAGAGGAGGGGAATTTGAAGTCGGGGCTTGTTGGAAAGGGAGCTGGAAGGATCAGTTGAGCTGAGCTGAGAGGGGAGTTAAGAGGGTAGAGTTGGGATCTGCAAGCTGTGGCTACTGCTGCTGGTGCTGCTGCTGCTGCTGCTGCTGCTGCTGGGGACTGAATATGAGTCTTGAGTGGTATTTTTGAGTTGAAATGAGCCAAAGCCGAAAAAGGGAAAGTGGTGTGAGCGAGTCGACTGAGACGAAATCTGTGATTAGAGAGGAGAGATGTCTCTGGCACAGAGAGAAGGGATCGGCGACGCTGTTGGGTTAGCGGAGCCGTGACGCCACTAATTAGACTAAGACAACCAAACCAAAGGGGATAATTGCAGTTTTTGCCCCCGTGACTTTTGCGTCGGTTGTATTTTAGCCTCTTGTATTTTTTTCATTTGGACATTGTTCAAATTCTTTTCATTTTTCCCTTGTTCAATCTCACACTCTCGATGATTATGTTTCATTTGAATTTGGTTTTCTATAGTTACATAGCTTGTTGTTTCTAATATATAGTAGTTCTCAAAGATGATGAATGTAATTATAAAAATGTAATAATAGTGATATGAAATCAAATTATAAATAATCAAAGTGATTTGAATTGAAAAATGAAAAATCGAATTGAAATTAGTACAAAGCATATGGATCAAAAGTTGAAAATTGTACATTTGGTACATTTGCATATTAAATTTGTAATATTTTTCTTACGAAATCATGCAATATTTTTTAAGAAGTTTTTATCCTCAATTCGAATTCGCTGATATTATTCACAAAATCAATCTTTCTAATTTGCTTTTTACTCATGAACTCAATTTGCACAATTTTCTTATTCATTTAGATATTCTTCTTATTCTATGGTCGAGAGGATTCCACGAATTGTAGTTTCTTTTTTACTAAGATTCAGGCTTATAGTAACCAAATACTTACACCTATAGTTTAAAAAGTAAAAGTTAATAACATCTATAGATTCAATGGAAATAATTCAACTAAAATGAAAATTTTCCAAGAAACTTTAATTTTCAAGGTCTTACATGTAAAACTCGTTTTACTCTTTAGTCCCTTACCTTGCACCTTCGGAATAGAGTAGTAACGCCTTTTGAAACGGCGGCTCAAACGACGTGTTTGGTAGGCGTTCTGACGCCACTGGAAGATTAAAAAAACAAGACAAAAAAAAAAGCCCAGCTGAGCTTGTTGAGTTGAGTTGTACGAAGATGGTTGGACCATTTCCATTTGTGCATGTGGCTCTGGAAAATGCTCGGGCTTGAGTTGAGCTGAAGTCGAAAAACCATACAAGAGAGTTGATTCAAGCCGGCCTGAGGCGGCTGTTCCAGGCTTTTGTTTAATTGAGCCCCACGGTCCAGCTAGCCCACAAGCCCAGCTTAGTTGTTGAAAAATTTTCAAAAAATGCAAATGCTAAAAGCCTAAAGCACCCCATGATTTTGCTGACCTAGTGATTTATCTCAACTCTTGTTTTTTTTTTTTTTTTTTTTTGGTTGATACTATAGATTCCTACACTATGAGAAGAGAAGGACCTGAAGAGATTCAAGAATAACCCGAAGGGGACTGAATAACTATCGAACTATACGGGTGTACTACGCACTCATCTGAATTTTTTAAACAGAGTCACTTTTTAATGTGGCGAATTGGTGGGAGGCAAGTTTTGAACCATTGACTCCCACTCCACCAAGTGTTAATGTATTGGTGGTGCTCACCAGTCCAAAAGCTTCAAGTTTTTTACCACCCATACAGAAATTAAAGCTTTAAGTGAATTTTTTCAGATACCATGTTTGATATTTGAAGCCTATTAGAATTTCATGATTACTTTAGAGGCTACAAGACAATTTTTTACCTTCTACAATTATTTTTTTCAAAATATTTCTAGCAAGGGAGGAGTACGGTTGCAAACAAGTGAAATCGAATCAAGTTTTGGTCTAATCAAGCTGAATTCAACTCAACTTTATCAAACTTAAACTCGACAAGTTTTCAATGTAAAACTCAAATTCGATTTCAGATTCAAACCTAGTTGAACTTGAGTTCAAGCCTACTCAAGCTCAAAAAATTAAAAAAATAATTATTTTATTTTTAAAATGAATATAATAGATTTTTTTCTTAAAAAATAAAAATATTGAGGATATATGTGTAATTTTATGATTAAAATTATAAATATATATATATATATATATATATTTGAGTTTGGTTGCGAGTTAATGCGTAGAGTTTCTATATGCCCGGTTCGAGTTTGACAGCTCAACTTAGTTGACTTGATTTTGATGTTGGCTGAATTAACTCGCAAGTAATTTGATTCGTTTGTAGCTCTAGAGAAAGTGAAATTTAAGAAGTGAAAAGGAGCAAAGATGTTAGAATTCAGGGCCTCTAATTCAAAAAAAAAAAAAAAAAAAAGTTAAAGCGAGAGTTTGTGCATAATTGAACTTTATTGTTGAGTTTCAATCTTGCCAAGTTTGTCTCATGAATTAAGCATTTTGACCTCAAAAGCAATAACTGAATAACCATAGCATCGTTTGGAATTCCAATTACACATTGCAATCTTTATGCCTTCATGTATTTCCTTCTAAAGCGTGAACTATAACTATTACACTGAGGTAATCAACTACATCTAAGAATGATCCTTCTTGAACTCCCTCGACCCCCCCCCCCCCCCCCACCCACCACCTCCCCCAACCCAGAAATAGTGAAAGCACTTTTGGCTCTTTCCAGTTTCCATGCTTCCAATCACGCCTTCAGATCCCCTATGGAAGGCGCGCCGAAGGGTAAATTCAAAGCGTGATCAAGTCGCTCTTCCAATCCACGTCTAAGATACAAGTTCAAGCTGCTGCCACGATGAGACCTTCTTCAATCAGAAGAGTGTGTTGAGTGCAAGCAGCTCTGTGACTATATATGTATTTTTTTATTTTTCTAGTTTCTATTTTCCATGTGCTGTGTGAGTCAACAACTGTTACATCATCCATCAGTTAACTATTTTGAAGAAGGAATGGTCAAATTTTTCTTCTTAAACTTCTTCTTGATCTCCATATAATGGCCGAAGGGTCTGGACAAAGCTGGTAAGGAATTTTTTGAGGAGGAATCTCTGGTATGCTGCAAAATAAGCATTCTAATTTTTGAGCAACATTATCAATAACATGTCAAGAATCCCAACGTACCATCATTAACGTAAATCTTACTCTGATGTTAGCATCCATTCTATTGTATGTGAAACAAAAAAAAAAAAAAAGGAGAAAAATGGATAGGTACAATTTATGCCACAAGTTGACCTGGATGTGGTGGCGACGTGTGCCTAGGTAGTCAATGAGATCACTGTCGAATGGAACATGAATGATTTGGTTTAAAATATTGCAAAACTGAAAGAGCCCTAAGGATGTCTAAATTGAGTCCTACTGTAGTACTAGGGGTAACATGTTTTTTTTTTTTTTTTTTTTTCCGGTTTGTCTAACAGGTACCCATTAGAATATATTTCAGGTGTTATATTTTTTAAAATATAAGATTAATTGGAAAAAGTAAATAAATATAAGGGAGGATAGGCAAGACTAAATAGGAAAAGTATATATATATATATATAAAAGAGAATAATAATTATTAATATGTGCATGTCTAGAAGTATTAACGAGGGCACTTGTTAGAAAAATCTTCTTTTTTTTTTTTTTTTTTCCTTCAACGCTAGCCATCCCATTTTGGGTGACAGGTAAAATGAAAGTTGCCATCCTTTAACTTAAAAAACTAAAATAAAAGACCCGTTAAAGTCCCCATAGAAATGTCAATTGTGCAAAATTAATTAAGGTCACTTATTTAATGTTGTTGACCATTGTCTGAAATCTCGAAGGCTGATCAAATCTAAGTGAAACCTTGATCGGTGGAATCAGGATCTATTTTGATGGATTATAGTAGTATTAGATAGAAGTCCTTGAATACCAATGACCATAGAGGTCCATTTTCACTGCCTGGAGCAGGTGAGAAACTTTTGCCATGCCAAAAGATCAATAGAATTAGTTAGTTATATTACCTTAATGCAGAAATTTCAATTTGGGAGAAGTCCATGTTGGTTGAACTATCCGGCACAGAAATAGTCCTCGTCGCCATCGATGTTGGGGCTTTGACGGCTAGGACTTTGCAATTCAAAGCGTTCACAATATTGTTGTGGTCCGTTGCCAACCTAAACCCACATAATATATTATTGTCATTTTAGTGTTTCAGACAAAGAAGAAGTTTCGGGTTTGAATGAAAGCTCCTCATCTCCATGAATGGATACAGTACCACACATAATTTTGACTGAGACAACTTTCGTAGCCCGAATTGCATGAAGTAAAAAAATGGGACAGGTAAAATTTCCAGGCTCATTGAATCTACGTTACAATACACAACAACGAAAGTGGAGGACAACCAATCAAGGCATAGAGGTTCTTGATTGAGCAGCATGCATGATGCAGAATCTTCCATATATACCGAGAGTGAGAGAGAGAGAGAGAGTCCTGAACTATAGTTCACGGTTGGATACAGGATACGTGCAAAATTAAAAAACTTGAAATTTAAATTCAAATTAATTGTTATATATCTGATGACGATAGTGTATAAACATGATTAGTACATAAAAGATTGATCCATATGAGGAAGAATTACCTAGTCTAGGTGTAAGTCAAGTTCGTCCTATCCTCCATCAGGGGACCGGAACCATTTAGCCCCCTCCCTCCATTCTTGATTCTTGCCGACCATTTCAATATTTTAAAGAAAAGCTGGCAGCTGTGCAACTCTAACTAATTAAAAATGCATGAGAAATTTTGTTGATTTTTAACATAAAAGCATGAGAAACCACATGCTTCAGGTTAGTAAGCATCAAGATCAAAGTCCCGGTCAACATGACAGTTGAGGGCTTTTGCATTTGGTAGCTAACTGAACCATTAATTTATGTGTAGGTCTCCCACATCGACCCTTTTTTTTTTTGGGGGGGGTGGGGGAGGGGGGGTGGGGAATGCTGCATTAAAAAGTTGTATTTTGATCCTTAAAGCTTAAAATGTATGAATTATGCTTAATTAAATTATAAACTAATGTCCATTTAAAGACGCCTATGGACCATACACTACACTAAGAAGCAGCTATGGCACTACTCCTGCCATATCACGAAATTCTCATATCTGCTCCACATATTTCCTGTGAGCCAAATTTTTTGCACCTAATGCAGCCAGGCACAGAAATCTCACCCTTTTCTAAAATTTTTTTTCCTTTTTCTTTTTACACAAAAAGCAGAAAACCCATTACAGCTTCCTACCATAGTTTCGTGTCATTTGCCTCTAAAGTGCAAATGTACAAAATTCCTGTATTTTAATGCAAAAAATTAAACATAAGAAAGCATATTCTATTGAAGCCTAGCAGGTCAGCAACGTAGAAAACCGTGTGAATCAATCTATGGACCGAAACAAGGAAGTGAACTGAACGTTGACCAATCAAGCCTTATGGCAGGCAGCCTTAACCAATCAATCATTCATCTCCATCAGCCACAGCTGTTTTGATCAGTTCAAACTTCGAAGATGCTTTCAATCTCATGATTTCCATCATCTATTCCTCAATCATTGTTATGATTCAATTTCCAAGAAAGAATTTTTAACACTACTTACTTGTACAGAAAGCTCTGATCATGAAGCCCAACAACAAGAGCAGAAGCTCCAAGCTCTCTAACAATGGTCACAATCCTTCCTCCTTCTTGGTCCTCTTCAGTCACAACAATCTCAGTCTTGGTCTGCAACCATTATAATCCTAAATCATACACTTGGTCATTAATCATAACCATACCAAATTATCTTCTACATCAATAAACAAAAAAAAAAAAGGTCCTGCAGGAATTTGATCTTGCCACTTACATTTGGGAAATTGTTGCAGATATCTTTGAAGGAAAGAGCCAAGTGGAAGCCCTTTAACCTGAGAAGTCTGAGCTTGTTCTTGTTCCTAGATCTTGTTGATGGGAAAACATGGAGCAGAGTAATCAAATCCCCATAACGAAGAAGATTGTGTAAAGTCCACTGCAGGGCTGTTCTCGCCACATCTACATCTTCCACAACCACCACTATTTTTCTTGCATCCATTGCACTTAAATTCCTATGACTAGCTAGCAAGACTTCTTCCGTAGGGGTTAAAAAAAAAAAGGATTGCGAACTTCAATAATGGAGGGATTGATTGGGAGAAGGTTCTTTTACCTTTGTTGTAACTTAGTTAACGTAGAAGTTTCTGTCTGTAGCTGGTAAAAAGGGTAGTATATTTTTGGAGATTGCTTGCGGAAATATGAGAAATGGACACCTGAAAATGACTCTCTAATGGGATCCTCTGATTATGAAATGGTTCGCCAGAGAGGATAAGAGGAACAAGAAATGGACTTTATAGAATTGACTGGGATCCCTTTGTCAGATTTTGTCACCCTTTATACTCTACCAATGTGTGTGTGTGTTTGGTTGTGCCCGAAGCCAGAGGGGATAGGCAGAGTTTATTTGATACCTGCAGACTCCATTTAATCAATACATTAATCTAATCTAATACCACTTCTATTAGGGGAAAATCAAGGTAGGGTGGTCTGCTGGCTTAAGTTAAGACTACCTCTTGAAATTGAAGTGAAAGAAATTGTTGCATTACAAATTTGCTATTATTGAACCATTGAACTCGAAGCAAGGATGGAAGTTTTATGAGATTAAACATCTTATAAGTAAAATAAGAAAGACTACGGCCTTGTTCTAGTTTTTGCAAAATCTGATTATATCAAAATCAACTTGCTATTGCCCATTGAAGTTCAATTTTAACATTTTCAGCCTCTTAATGATTCTTTTTTTTTGTTTTTTTGTTTTTCTATTCGGACAGTAAAAACTTAGCTTGAGATTTTTCTTTTTACAATCAAATCCCAACTTATGATTGGTTTAATTATCTGCTTTTAACTTTTTCTCTTCTCTAGTTGTTAGACTACCAACATTAACTCTTTTTGTTTCTTCTTCTTGTTTCTGTCTTGGACAGAAGATGAATGGACAGCCCTTTCTTTTAACGGGTGAATGGACACTTTAACTGTCGTACAAAGGATAAACCATAAAGAGTTACCAGGTACAGAAAGAGGCAATTAATATGGACGGTGTTATAAAAAGAAAAAGAACAGTAGTATTGTAGGGAAAAGGGATCTTGAGGGATGCAACTACATTGCATGATAAAAAAGACAATAATCTTCTGTCATATCACACTCATGATTTTACAAATATTAATCGCACTCATTTCAAGAATTGTCATTGCATGCAGAGATCATGCTGATTTAAGTACAAGAAGATGCAAACAAATAAATAAATAAAATTGGTTGTGGTTTTTGATTGTGTCATCACCATTTTAAAATTCCCATTAGTGCCCAGACAAAAAGTTTTAATGTCGTCAAGTGATTTGGCCTGCTGGATTCTCTGTACTTTTGTTTATCCAAACAATTAGCCAAATTTTATATTTTTCAGTTTAGCCCAATTCTTTAAGGCCTAGTAGAGGTTGTCCTACTAACTTTTCCGTAGTCCCACATCGTTTCTTCGGGGTTGGGTAGTTAAGTCCCCTGGTTTGTCTCAAGAGTTGCCGACTTTTGGGGTTAAATCTGAAATTAGGTTTAATTAACTAATTTCAAAAGTCTGAAAAAAAAATTGATTTAAGAGGGAATAAGTACATAAAAGTTTTCTGTCCTCTACGATCTCTTACAAAATTACACTCATTCGCAGGAACTGACACCACGACGCTCCAATAACGCAACCCACATCCCAATCCACCACAGTAGGGAAGGGTCTTGAAATTCCAATATTCTGGACCTGGTGATTCCACTGGGGTTTAGGGATTAAGAATCCTTGAAGTTTCCCCATTTGCTGATTGATTATGTCTGAGTAACATCATCGAAAAAGTACTTAAAGGTCTTTACATGGTCATAGAGTTTCTACAGTTTCTCAATAAGTTTGGTGTTGTTTTGTCCTTCCCAAGTATTGAAATTTTAAGGGCATGCATGCAGTTTAAAGGTTTATTTGTTAATGCCCAAAATTTTCTTTCTTGCCGCTTTGATTGGATGGAGACTTAATTGCCCATTCTTGAAACCAATATTCGAGCTTCAAATAGATCCTAGATCATAATTGATAAAATTTTAGTTTTATCTCTAATGTAATCATGCAAATTTAGTGATTAAAATAGGTTAAAATAAGTGATTAAAATGCTAGACTATTTACGATTGAGAGATGTAAATTTAGCCCCTCACTTGACTGTGTGGATGTTGAGGAGGAGAGAAAGATGAAAAAGAAAACGATCCTTAGGGCCAATAATTTGCTATCCTACTTGTGGAATTAAAGCTAAATTGCTGTTCTAGCTTTTATGTGCTTTCTATGTACGGTATGAAACTTTTTACAAACTACACAAAAAAGATTGTAAAAGGAGTTCAACAGACAACAAATAGAATAGTTCATTTTTGTGAGAACAAGTATTGACAGGATGCTTTAAAAAAAGAAGAAAACAAAAGAAAAGTATTAACCGCGGATGCATTGGTAGGCTACAGTACACTGTTGTAGATCATACTCCTTTTTAGAGGTTAAGGTGCAAGAACTTCAGGGGTTTAATGCTCAGGGTAGAGGCTATTGAGTTATGAAACCAACGGTTTTCAAGGTTTCTCAGGTTATATGATGGCAAACGTTGCCCTCAGTCATATACATGTTTCAAGGAAGATACCCTGTAGAAAATGCAGAACAACTCTGCTATCTGGTTCCCCATCAAAGAAACCAAGACAGGAGGAAAATAACCTCCACAAGACTGAAAGAATTTGAGTATTCTTTCGGAATAAACGGAAGGATTTCTTACACAAAACTAATGAGATCCGGGGAGAATGTATTTCGAACAACGAGCAGGAACATAGAGATCCAACTAGACAAAGGATCTGCTCTTGCTTCAATCACGCACCTGTTTTCTGACTCAGTAACTAGGACAAATGCTGACCATGACCTCTCGGCGCCAAGAGCCCAGGACTCTCAAACAGCGTGACTGAATGTCAAGGACAAGCTTGGAATGATATATCAACTAAGACTCCAGTCAACTGACCTGTAACCCTGCCATCTCAAGTAAGAACCTGCAACAGAACTAAAAGCAATTTGACATGTGCTTGAACATCATCAAGTTCAAACAGACGTTCTTTACTTCACCTAAAATTGTCAAACTTATATGACTAAATATATTACACAGATCAGCAGCCCGTTCATTTGTTCCTATAAGTCTAAGTAACAACAGGCAGTTCTGTTTTATTGTTCCTGAGTCTTACCTGCCCTTTAGATATCATACATATTGTTCGCAACAAAGCTTTGGGCACGGTTCTGACCCAGCTACCTGAGAGCAAAACCTGCCCTTGCTAACATTCATGACAATACAAACATCACTGTACAAATTTGATGAGTTTCAATACAACACAAAATACTAAGGGCATGCTGCTTCTACAACCCCACAAACAGAGCAAGCTAGCTTATTTAAGTTGCACGGCTCCAAGCTGCTTTCGCATGGCCTCTTCCTGCATTGTAATACCCCCTTCCACGGTAGGAACCCTGTGAATTCCCTCCCCTATATGGCCCCTGAATGCCATGATCCCTTCGATGTTGCAGAATCTCGCCAATTTTCTGAAAGATTCAAATGCATGTATAATTCAGTAATTGACCAAAAACAGATACCAGAAGACTACTTCTATCTGAAACATGCATTACCTCGTCATCTGTCTTTCTAAGCTCTGAAACCTTCCCTCTGTAAGACTCACCATCCAGGGTAGGGCATGAAAGTGAATCAAAGAAGTCATCCTTATAGTAAGCGCTCTGGAAAAGGAAGTGACAGTCTAGCTGGTGAAAGACTTCAGGAAACAGAAGTTGACAACTTATGGAGAATAAGCAACGAGTGTAAAACTTTTTCTAATTAGGCAGACAATTGGCCCACCTTATTGTCTAGCTTCGGCAGTCCATTTCCAGATTCATCTACTGCTTCTTTTCCTTTACGCCCTATTTCATCTTCTTTGTTATCTTCTGATCCACCTTGCTTGGCTTTATCAAGAAGACCCCAGATCTCCTTTTTATTAAATTTGGCATTCATTGCCTCAAAGTCAAAATCCTCAGTAAAGTTGGCGTCAGCCTACAGAACAAAAACAAAGAATGACATAAGTCAGCAATGAGGTAACTTGAACGGATTCTGGAATCTAAATTTGAATTGTAAAGTACTCCTACCTCACTGCTTCCCCATGCAGGACTCCCACCATGGCGGCGATAATATGGTCCAGCAGCATTTGGCTGGCCAAAAACATAATATTAAACAGTACGAGCATGGATAAATCAGAAAAAACAAAGTTAGCTAGACATGAGTACAAGAACATAAGAGGAGACAGAAACTAACGTAAAAAGAGAAAAATAACAATTAAGCAGACTCTGATTATATATATATATGTATGTATGTATGTATGTGAGAAGGAATGAAAATAAAATGCAACACAAAATTACCGCATTCGCTCTTCCCTGGCCTCTAGGAGCCTGGTGACGGTATGAAGCAGTGCCAATCAGCTGGAAGATTAGACATCCAAAAAACATTTGATTATGATATGTAGAGTATGAGCAAAATACTGAAGTTCATGATTTCCAATGCTTAACAGGAAATTAGGGAAAATTAGAAGGACATGGTATTTACCGGATTTCCTCTTCCAACTGGATGACCTCTACAGGTCTGATAATTGTGTGAAAAAGCTCTATTTGGCTAACCAAATTGTAGAAGCACAAAAGACATTATCAATATCATATATTTTTTAATGAAAGAAATCAGTGGAAAAATGCATTACATTCCCCCAGAAAAATTTTTTTTGGATATGATAATTAACAAGGTTCAATATAACCAATCAACAGCATGAAGTCATTTTCTTTCTCTTCTCTGACCCTAGATATCTATCTATGAACTGCCTGCCTTCCTTTGACTTGTACATTGATGTTTTCAGTTAGGTTTGGGAAGTGTGCATAAATGCAGTAAGAGAGACATATGAATTTACCAAATTTCCTCGACCCCTTCCAAGCATACGATCTCTATTACTCTGGTACCGGAGATGCATATCTCCATAAATCTGCACAAGAGAAAATGCACAAAAAGAAATGTAAGAAAATCCTTCCAATTGTAGTATACAACATTCTCTATGAAAAGGAAAATCAATCAAGAAAGGCATAAAATGAACCAAATCTCCTCGACCCCGTCCTTGAACCTGTCCATGGTGCTGGCTACCAGGGTGAGATGATGATGCAGGATCATACAGCTACAGTTAAAATCACAATCAGAAAAAATTTTGATATCTCCCGACAATGAAATGAAGAAAT